GTCCATCACAGGGACACCTGGACAGGTCTCAGTCCATCACAGGGACACAGAGACAAACAACCATTCTCTCTCTCCTAGAGACAGTTTAGAGTTACCAGTCAGCCTAACTTGCATGTTTTTAGTCTGTGGGAGGAAACTGGAGTACCTGGAGAAAACCCACGCAGCACGGAGAGAACATGCAGACTCCACCCAGAAAGGTCCCTGGCTGGGATTTGAACCAGCGACCTTCTCGCTGAGAGGCAGCAGCTCTACCAGCTGTGCCATCGTGCTGCCCAGGAATATATTTTACACATGAAAACATTTTAGCATGAATATCCAGATGCATGCTCAATAATCCAGGTAGAAAAATCTCAAAAAGTTACGTCTGGTCCTCTGGACGTTCAGTTTCATTTTTGCATGAACTTAAGTTCAGACTGAGCAAAACCTTCAGTGTGGAGCCTGTAGCTCATTTCAGCTTTTTATCACTGCCTTTTTGACTCACCTGATATCTCGTTTCCTCATTTTTGCCATTTCTATTTGTTTGTTTCAACACGTGGACTATGGCTGAATGAAACCGTTTTACTTTGTTTGTTAAGAGCTGATTTAACTCTTGCTAAAACGCCATCAGGCCCTTGCTTGGATCAGCAGGGACTCTGGAGCGATGACGTGACGGCTCCATGCATACTCGTTGACTGAGTAAAGCGAATGCTCTTCCAGTCCCATTAGAAACTGCATTAGCTCTTCTGAAACAGACAGAAGCTACGCAACGCTTGCTGGTGTCCAACGTGAGCCTGTCTTTGAACGTGTTCAGGACAAAGTGGACCGAAAAGGTTTGTAGGTTCCTTCAGACTCTCACTACAAAGTCCTTACTTGTTGATGGAGGGTGAAGGTCACGTGAACAAGTGATGTCACGCTGGCCGTGGGCTGACTGTTGTGCAGAAGTAAACCTGCAGGTCCCTCCAACGCCTCTTTCCCACCGCTCCTACTCGGCCCCAACTCTGCTCAGCTCGCCCCGGTTTCAGCGCTGCTCCACCAGAACTTTTTAGCTGATTCGGCCCTTTTGTGTCCCTGCTTCTCTGGTGGGACCGTTCGAGCTGAGTCGGCACCTAAACGTGACGTCAGAACACTGTCGGTCACTGATTGGTCAGGGGGCGGAGTCACTGGATCTCTCAGAAACTTTTCCCCGATCCGCCATTTGCAATTTCTCTGAACTGGGAGCAGCGGCTCGACCTATTTGTAAGATTTTAAAAGCAATAATGACAACACCGTGTTTAACGCTGAAGTGCAGGCGTTTGTTGTTTTTGGTGACCGAAGACAAAATTCAGAGGAGCTGAGTCACCGCGGAGGATCATTCGAGCTGCCGACCCGTTGAAGCACGCGAGGCCGGGGTCCGGGCCCCGGCAGACGGGTCTACCGGGACGGAGGGTGGAAACTTTTATTTTTTAAAACATTTTATGTATAAAAAATGTTGTTTTATCAGTGAAGATTAAAAATAAATCAACGGTGCCGGCTTTATCATGAAATCCTGTTTTCACTTTGACTTTATTAAATAATCTGTTAATTAAAGTTAACTCAGCTGAAAAATCAGAAAAAGACAAAATTATTGGATCTCAGGAACTTTTCCCTCCAACATGTTTAAAGAAGAGACACGGCCTTTAGTTCAACTTTATTCTAACGCACAGATGAACAGACCACAAAACAAGAATTAAACTTTAAATCACTAAAATAAAATAATCTGTATACAAGAAACAAAAGCACATATTGAACAATAAAAGTAGACACAAGTGCAAATACATCAAATGATGAAGAAAAATATAGAATTTTAATAAAGATGTTTTTGTAGAATCTGGTTCATCAGATTTAATTCAGTTTATTTATGAATCTCCAAGTCACAACAGAAGTCGTCTCAGGGCACTGAACAGAAATATTCATATTTAAAATAAATTAACATTTCAATTCAGTTTATTTATAAAGCATCAAATCACAACAAAGTTGTCTCAGGGACTTTACAGGAACATTCACATAAAAGCCAATTAGTAAAGTTCTCTATCTAAGGAATCCAGCAGACAAGTTGAATCTTGGCTTCGTTGCAGTCTCCCATCCTGAGCAAGCACAGTGGAGACAGTGGGAAGAAAAACTCCCTTTAACAGGAAGAAACCTCCAGCAGAACCAGCTCAGGACAAGAGACCATCTGCTTTGACCGGCTGGTTGAGAGGACAGGAAGGAGAGACAGACCAACACACGAACAGAAACATTCATATTTAAAAATAATAATTTAACATTATTGTTCTGAGGAGCAGACTGCTTTGAGTTTAACTCATCGCAGAACTCTCACTCTTAATGGTGAACTAAAGTTCATCAGCAGGATTTTGGACTCTGGACACACCTCCAGAACCGGTCCTGAGGTGCGGTGGAAATGCGACGTGTAAAGAGCCGATCTGAGCAGAGTAGGGCTGAGTAGGAGCGGTGGAAAAGGAACACAGCTGTTTCCTCCTGAGTCATGAAACCAGTTTGGTTCAAAAGAACCCAAAGCTAAAATCTACCTTACAGCGATACCTCCTCCATCCCTGCAGAACCTGACCCAGTACGTCACGTTAACTGACTGTGTATTAAAGCATGTGAAGTGTACTTCCTGGTTTGACGTGTAGACTGTTCTGTGATCAGAGAGAAGTAAAGTTTCATACTCAGCCATAATGAAAATGTGCAAGACAGTTCAGAAATGTTTATTTTTCTCTGTTTGAGCAGTTCCCTTGTTTGTTTGAGTGTGTAACAGTTTTAGTCTTGTGTTGGGTCTGACACCTGAGAACTGACGAGTGATACGAGACAACTGGTTTCAAAGGTGTCACAAAGTGTCCCTCGTCTTTGTCCTGACAGGCTGGATGAGAACTACACAGTAAAAGTGGCCGACTTTGGCCTGGCCAGAGACGTCTATGACAAAGAGTACTACAGCGTCCACAACAAGAGTGGAGTCAAGCTGCCCGTCAAATGGATGGCTCTGGAGAGTCTGCAGACTCACAAGTTCACCACCAAGTCCGACGTGGTGAGCACTCTGCCATGTTTGTGGTTTGTCATGAAAATACTAACCAAGACCAAAACCTAGCTCCACTGTGCTGTCTCTGTAGAAATTAGATGGATACGTTGCAGCTAGATGCTGCTAATCAAACACATAATTACTGTATCATCGGCAAACGTGAACACCCTCACAGACATCTGAAGTGTTCTGGAGGGAGTAAAAACATAAAACATAAGGCCTATTATTTGTGAGGTTTGACCAAAACGACCACAAAAATATTTTCTCAACTTCTGATGATTTTAGTCTAAATTTCTGACATGAAAGAAAAGAGGCAAAAGGATTTCCTCAAAGAATGCACCATTTTGCATCGAGGATGAGTTGGCAGTTGTCCCATAGTCCCAGGAAGTCCAAGAAGTTAAAAACTCCTTTACAGACCTTAACATTTAAAAACAACTGGGGTAACTTGGTGGTCAGTGCCGCCGTCTTGTAATCCTGAGTTAAGGGTTCGAGTGTCAGGAAGGGCAGTTGGTGTCAAGTGTTTGCCAAATCTTTCATGTGAGGCAGCTCGCTGTGGTGATCCCCGAAGATGGAAGCAGCTGAAAGAAACTGATTTACAGAAGTTAACTTTTAGGATGTCGAACATTAAAGTTCATGACAGGACATTTAGAGAAAGACTACCAACCATAGCTTGTAGAGACAAGTTGTCAGGAGACATCTTTCCTCAAAACAGACATGGAAGCTCAGCTAAGGTTTGCTCAGCTGTATCTGAACAAACCACACGACTTAAGGAGCAGTGATCTTTGGACAGGTGAGACCAAAGGTCTAGTATTATAGCACAGGTCTATTGTAGTACAGGTCTGTTATAGGACAGGTCTATTGTAGTACAGGTCTGTTATAGTACAGGTCTGTTATAGTACAGGTCTACTGTAGTACAGGTCTGTTATAGTACAGGTCTGTTATAGTACAGGTCTACTGTAGTACAGGTCTGTTATAGTACAGGTCTACTGTAGTACATGTCTGTTATAGTACAGGTCTACTGTAGTACAGGTCTGTTATAGTACAGGTCTACTGTAGTACAGGTCTGTTATAGTACAGGTCTACTGTAGTACATGTCTGTTATAGTACAGGTCTGTTATAGTACAGGTCTGTTATAGTACAGGTCTGTTATAGTACAGGTCTGTTATAGTACAGGTCTGTTATAGTACAGGTCTACTGTAGTACATGTCTGTTATAGTACAGGTCTATTGTAGTACATGTCTGTTATAGTACAGGTCTACTGTAGTACATGTCTGTT